GTACCTCGCCGGGGCCGGAGGGGAGGGGGGGTGGGCGTGGTTGGGGTTGAGAGGTTTCTGCAGGGCCTCGCTGGGTGACCCTGGTGTCCCCTGAGCAAGGGAGGAAGCCGCTTGTTAACTCAACCTCGCTCCTGTTGCTTTAGGGCGCCACAGCCTGGCTGTGCTAGTCACAGCCGTCATCAACGAAGACGGGACTCATCACTTCATCATGATCGCCCGGCTGGATGATATTAAGATCGCGTACTACAGAAGTGACACACGAGAGGTCAGACCCACTGAGGAATGGGTGGCACAGGCCCTGGGCGCTGAGTATTTCCAGGAAAAGACCCAGCAGTTCTGGAGGCACGAGGAGGGCTCTAAAATTGAGACCAGGAGGTGGATGCAGCTGTACAACCAGACGGGCGGTGAGTGTCTGAGAGTTGTTGTTATTAATGGACACGCGAGAGCTGCCCGCTCAGAATCACTCCCACTGGGGATCGGGGCCTCGCTGGGCCAGGTGCTGCCCAAACCAGAGCTGGCTGGAAAATGGAGTTTTCTTCCCACAGAAAATGTGTTATTCCTGGAAGTGGTTTCATTCCCGATCGGAAGGAAAGTCAGAAATGGGAGGTTTCCTGTGGGAAAGAAATTTTTCAGAAATGACATCTCAGGAGAATCCCAGGCAGGGAGCCGGGCAGCCCCAAGATCAATTTCTCCAACAGAAGATCAATGTTTTCTGGCCAAATTGAAATTTTCTCACAAAAAATTATAATTTTGTGGAAACAGCCTGTCCCAAGGCTAACAGAATGTCAGGAACCATTAGGAAAGGGATAGAAAATAAGAGAGAAAACATCATAATGCCTCTATATAAATCCATGGTGTGCCCACACCTTGAATACTGCGTGCAGGTCAGGTCACCCTGTGACGGGTTGATCACAGAAACCCCTTTGGAACTGCCACCTGATGTGCCCAGACTACCTCTGAGCCCGTTTCCCCTGCCAGCTTGGGACTTCAGTACCGTCTTGTTGAGCCAGACACGCCAGCCTGCTGCAACACAGACCCAGGGTCTGAACCACGTGCCCCACAAGCTGCAGGCTTAACTGAAAGCAGCTTAAAAAGTGCTCCTGTCTCCAGCACTCAGACACCCAGCTCCCAATGGGGTCCAACCCCCAAATCAATCCGTTTTACCCTCTATAAAGCTTATACAGGGTAAACTCGTAAATTGCTCACCCTCTATAACACCGATAGAGAGATATGCACGGCTGATTGCCCCTCCCCCCAGGTATTAATACATACTCTGGGTTAATTAATAAATAAAAAGTGATTTTACTAAATACAGAAAGTAGGATTTAAGTGGTTCCAAGTAGAAACAGACAGAACAAAGTAAATTACCAAACAAAATAAAATAAAACATGCAAGTCTATATCTAATACAGTAGGAAACTAAATGCAGGTAAATCTCACCCTCAGAGATGTTCCAATAAGCTTCTTTGACAGACTAGCCTCCTTCTAGTCTGGGTCCAGCAATCACTCACACCTCCTGTACTTATTGTCCTTTGTTCCAGTTTCTTTCACGCATCCTTTGGGGTGGAGAGGCTCTCTCTTGAGCCAGCTGAAGACCAAATGGAGGGGTTTCCCAGGGGCTTCTATAACCTCTCTCTTGTGGGTGGAAACCCCTCTCTCCCCCGTGTAGAATCACAGCTACAAGATGGAGTTTTGGAGTCACATGGGCAAGTGACATGTCCATGCATGACTCAGTTCTTTACAGGCCGACGCCATTGTCTACATGCTAGTTTGAATGTTCCCAGGAAAGCTCAGATGTGGACTGGCGTCTGTCAAGGTCCATTGTTAGCCAAGTGCTTCCACTTACTTGAATATCCCCTCACACTATGTTGACCAGATTTGCCTTAGATGCTTCCTACAGCAAACATTTTAAATAGAAGCACAGAGCCAACGCTCATAACTTCCGATATAAAAATGATACAGGCATACGAATAGGATGAATACATTCAGTAGCACATAACCTTTGCATAGATATGTCACATGTAGCATAAAACAGATTCCATTTATGTCATATTTACATTCATAAGCATATTTCTATAAAGCATTATGGGGTGCACCGTCACACACCCCATCTCCAAAAGGGCAGAGTGGAACTGGAAAAGGCTCAGAGAAAAGGGTAACAAAGATGATCACGGGTATGGAACCGCTTCTGTATGAGAGAGACCAAAAAGATGAGGGGCGTTGAGATTAGAAAAGAGACGACTAAAGGGGGATATGACAGAGTCTATAAAATGATGACTGGGATGGAGAAAGTGAATAGAGAAGTGGTCTTTACTCTTTCCCGCAATAATAAACTAGGGGCTGCCTGATTAAATCAATAGGCAGCAGATCTAATACAAACATGTGGAAGTACTTTTTCACACAACACACAGTCGCCCTGTGGAACTCATTGCCAGGGGATGTTGTGAAGGCCAAAAGTATAACTGGGTTCAACAAAGAACTAGATAAGTTCCTGGAGGACAGGTCCATCAGTGGCTATTAACCAAAATGGTCTGGGATGCAATCCCGTGCCTGGGGCGACCCTAAATCTCCACCTGCCAGAAGCCGGGAGGGGAAGACAGGGGTGGATCACTCCAGAATTGCCCTGTTCTGTGCACTCCCTCTGAATCTCTGGTGTTGGTCAGTGTCAGACCTTGGTCTCACCCCGTATAGCACCTCTCATGTTCACCGCTGGAGAGACTCCAGGAGCTAGTAACTGTCCGACAGGATCCCAACCCCTCAGTCCTTCCCGTGGGTCTGCTCTGACCCCTCCTGCTTCTCCGCGTCCTCTGGGATTGTTCACTAGCTCTGCAGGAGGCCAGCCTACGGTCAGAGATGGTAAAGTGCCGGTGTCACCGTCCGGCCAAGTGTCCTCTGACCCCACCTGCCTACAGACACATTTCCCAGCTCTCAGTGCAGGGTCTGAGCTCTCTCCCTCCTCCACAGGGGTTCACACCGAGCAGGTTCACGTGGGTTGTGTGCTGAGCGACCAGGCCCCCATGGACCCGAGGTTCCAGTTCGCCTACAACGGGAGGGACTTCATCAGCTTTGACAACCAGACGGGGACATGGATCGCGGCCGTGCAGCTGGCCTTCGCCCCGAAGCAGCACTGGGAGACGACGGGCAAGGCTTGGACCAAGTTTGTCCAGCAGTACCTGCAGTCCGAGTGCCTGGGGACCCTGCGGAGCCTGGTGCTGCAGGGGAGGGCAGTGCTGGAGCAGCAGGGTGAGTGAGTTGAGGGGACTTATTATGGGGAGTGGGGTACGGGGCTCAGCGACACCAGTGCGACTTGGACATGATCAGAAGGGGCAGTGTGACCTAGTGGATAGTGCACTGGGCTGGGACACAGGACAACTGGGTTCTAATCCCAGCTCTGCCACTGGCCTGCTGGGTGACCTTGGGCTGGGGCCATTCCCACCCACTTTTTAACACGGGCATAGTTTGTGGGGCAGGAGGCCGCGTTGCCCCCCCGCAAACTGCAAGCCTTAGGCAGGTACAAAGCACAGCCCCTGCTGGCAGCACCAGCCTGTTCACATTGGGGGAGCTGAGATCGGCCTTAGCCCCCCTCACCACGAGGCCCCGTCCCTCTCTGTGGCCCCACCCCTGCTCCTCCTCTTCCCGCCAAGGCCCTGCCTCCTAGCCAGGCTGGAAGCTGCAACCAGGATGTGGTGGGAGCCCAGGGCGTGGACATGGGCCAAGGCCTGCTCTTGGGTACCCCAGCCCCTGTCCATGGCTCCCCACAGCAACCGAGGCTCCCTGCCCAGCTCCAACTTCTGGCCTGGTCAGGAGCATGGCCTTTGGGGAAGGGAAGGGGAGGGGCTGGGGCAAGGCCGTGGAGAGGGGTGGGGCTTTGTAACCCCCCCACATCTACTGAGGTTCTGGCACTCCTGCCTTGGGCCAGTCACTCCTCATCTCTGTGCCTCAGTCTCCCCACATGTACAATGGGATTAACGACACAGCTCTCCTTTGTAAAGCACTTTGAGATTGACCGATGACAAGCACTAGACAAGAGCGAGCTCGCTGTTATTAGTGCAGACGGGTTATTAGCCAGTTCTGGCTGCCTGGGCGTCTCCGTTCTGCAGGGCCTTTCCCATTGGCTTCCAGCTCCCTCAACCTTCCCTTTTCGGGCTGAAATGCCCCAGCTCTGGGCTGTGAGTTGATTTTTTTGGCATGTTTGAGCCAGAAAAGGCCCAGCCCCTTGTGAGTGTGAAGGAGGCGGGGCGGGGGGATACTTGTCTCTATACAAAGGAAAACTTGTTTGGAGCTTCTTGTGCCCAGCACTGGCACCTCCACAGTCGAGGGCAGAGACATGGCGGGGACAGGGACTTATTATGGGGAGTGGGGTACGGGGACAAAGGGATTTAAGCGCCTGACAGTGCAGACTGGGGCCAGCTGGGATTTCCGAACGGAGGTGCCTGGCCCCCCATGAAATCACCAGGGTGAGGCACCGAGGGGCGTTTGGAAATCTGGCCCTTAGCCCCTAAATCGCACACGCGTGTTTGGGTGGCCCCATGACAATCTGCCTGGGCATAGCCGTGTTAGAGCGCGGGATTGCGCGCAGCGAAGGAGACCCGGGCCCAGGCCTGTTCTGGCAACTACCCAGTTCAGCTACAGCGTTGTGAGCCGTTTGAGTGAGTCTGCAGAGGGGATTTACACCAGATTAACGAGCTCCATTTACAAATCCGTGTAAACGGGTGCAGACCAGGGTCTCACATACATAGGGGAGGTTGACACACTGCGGCAGAGGCGCCAATTTTGTCCTTTCCGGGGGCGGGGGCGGGGGCGGGGGTGCTCGACCCCCACTCCACCCCAGGCCCCATCCTCACTCCACCCATTCCCCCAAGACCCCACCCCCACCCTGCCTTTCCTGCTCCTGCCCCCCTCTTCCTGCCCCATTCCACCCCCTCTCCTGGGCACAGCCCACCCTCGCTCCTCCCTCTCTCCCCCCAGCGCCTCCTCTACGCCGCTAAACAGCTGATCCAAGGCAGGGAGGAAGCACTGGGAGGGAGGAGGAGGAGCTGATATGGGGGCTGCCAGTGGGTGCTGAGAACCCATCATTTTTCCCCGTGGGTGCTCCAGCAACACGGAGTCGGTGCCTATGCATTGTGCACCTTTGTCTTCTGTCTGTTACATGGTCCCAGCCCCTGGCATGTGGCTCACACACTGTGTCTCCTTCCAGTGCCTCCCACGGTCTCGGTTTCCTGCAGAGACACCCCTGACGGCTCCGTAACCCTCTCCTGCCACGCCAGGGGCTTTCCCCCGCGTCCCATCCACGTCTCCTGGGTGCGGGATGGAGAAGACATCCTGGTGGAGACGGACTCCAGCGGGATCCT